TGGTCCTGAATTTGTAACTCAAGATTCCTCCATTTGCTGAAGATGTCTGTTTGTGGCTTTTAAAGGTGGCTTGTGCGCGCGCCCCTTTTAGAAGATCTTGGTGTGATGCAGGTGTATAAAACGCCCCTCGGGTGGATCCCTACAGGGGTCCTCTCCTTTCCCTCGACTCCCCTGCCCCATCACCCCAGGAAAGAACCAGAGGAAAGAACTGGAACCATCGTGGAGGGTTCCTGTGTCCAGGCACCACGAGACAACAGGATTGGCTCCATTTTGCAGATGAGGAAACAGACAGGTGATGACTCCCGCAGTTGGGACAACTGTAAAAAGGAATACCCTCCAGGACCGTCGGTGCCATTAGGGAGACACCAACAGCAAAGGTCCAATGGCAATAAAATATGAGTGATTCCAGGCTGTGCTGGAAGAGCTGAAGGCGACCCCTGCCCGTGTGTGCGGAGAGGGTCTGGCTGGCGGGTGCGCCGTGGAGACCAGCTCCGGGCTGGGTGGAGGGGTGGGCCGCTTCGGAGACTGGGAGGGAATGAGTCACTCCATGTGTGGGGAGCAGAGGACTTATTTCGGGGAGTAGTGGGGGAGGCAGCTTGAGGCCAGATTGTGAGGTGCCTGAAGTGACAGGATGAGCAGTTTGGACTTACTCCTACAGGGACGACCTTGAACAGCAGTGAACAGAGGGTGATGTGAGGGTTTTAGAGCAACTCGTCCTTCCCTGTCCTTTCTCCCTCAAAGGCAACCTCCACCACAGCCTGGAGATCCCACCTCTGCTTCCCCGCCACCCCCTCCTCTGTGTCCAGGAGGACTAGGCTCCCCTGGGGTGGCCCCTGCTATCTGCAGGCCACCCCTCCATTCCTTCCAGCCAGCTCTGCAGAGTCATCCTCTCCAGGCATTGCTGTGCGTCCATCCCACCCTGGCTCCTATTGGGGGGGTCGGGGGCGGGGGGGCTGCCGCCACCGCATCAGGTCCAGACAGCTCTTCCAGGCTTCCCACCTCTCAGCCCTAGGCCACACCCAATGGACCTCAGGGTCTGCTGTTGCCATTATCTTTTTTAAAAAATATATTTTTATTGATTTCAGAGAGGAAGGGAGAGGGAGAGAGAGAAACATCAATGATGAGAGAGAATCATTGATTTGCTGCCTCCTGCAGGCCCCCTACTGGGGATCAAGTCTGCAACCTGGGCATGTGCCCTCTACCAGAATCGAACCTGGGACCCTTCAGTCCGCAGGCCAATGCTTTATCCATTGTGCCAAACCAGCTGCTGTTTGCCATTATCTGCCTTCAGTTCATTCCTTCCCAGGACCCTTCTCCCCTCTGCCCTGAGCCTCAGGTCTTTACAGTACATCTCTGGGCTGCCTCCTCCAGGAAGTCCTCCTGATGCTCTCTTAACCCGCCAAGGCTTGATAATCTACTTTGTGTCCTTTTCTCCTCCCCATTAATCTAGTGGGAAGGACCCAGATGGTACAGTCAGACTGCCCTGGATGGAAATTCTGACTCCTGCTCCTACAGATGACCTTGGACAACTTATGGAACTGAGACTCTTTCCTCACCTGTTTCCTCGAGTCATGAGACTTAAATGACACAATGCAATCGAAGTGCCTCACAGAGCCTAGTACACAGTAGGTCTAAACACATGGCAGTTTCTTTTTCCCTCGGGAGCCTTCTGCGCTCCTAGTGTACTGCTGAACACACAGTAGGAGCGCAATAAACATCCAGTGATGAACTAAATGAGTTGCTGTGCTTTATTATTATTATTATTATTATTATTATTACAGAGATCCCACATGGGACCTTGAAGATTCACACAACAAAATCAGAAAGGTATCATCTCAGAACTGCGTTTTGAGTCAATAAGCTGATGCCAAGAGGGAGAGTGTAATGTATTCAATTCTATTAGAAATGCAAACAGACAGCTCTCCGTTGTCTGGAATCCTGATCCCTTTATCTTCTCACCCTCACTGTCCCTTAAAGAAACAAAGAGATCGATCCAAAAGGTCCCGCAGCAGGTGAGCAGAGCTCAGGGCAACCTGCACACGCTGAGATGTGCCCTCAGGGGGGTTAGTCCAGCTGCCAGGCTCAGCCTGAATGTCTTGGAAGCCAGAGAACAGTGAACTCCCTTTCCGCTCCGCCTGACAGTAGCCTCGCCATGTTGGCCCTTTTCAAAGGTCTCCACGTGATGGACATCCTCAAAGTGGCCCTGCGATGGAGATCGATTCAGGCTTGTGCTGTGATTAGCAGAGGGGCTGTGCCAGGGCCCTGGGGCAGCAGGAAGAGAGGCACCACCCAGCCCTGTCCTTAGCAGGTACTTAGATGGGAGGATAAGGGGGTGACTTTGTCAGCCAGGCAAGGAAGACTTGAACTTCTGAAGGAGCAGTAGGTAGAGAGGACACAATATCCAGGTGTTGCATTAAATATATATATATATAATTTCTTTTTAATTGATTTCAGAGAGGGAGAGATAGGAACAGCAATGATGAGAGAATCATTGCTGCATGCCTCACACAGGGGATTGAGCCCGCAACCCGGGCATGTGCCCAGACTGGGAAATGAACCGTGACCTCCTGGTTCATAGGTCGATGCTCAACCACTGAGCTAGGGAGGATGCTGCATTTTTTAAAATGACTCTTGCGAATCACAACAGCCTCTGTACTAAGCTCCTATCATTTATGTCCAGCAACACTTTCCAGAAGGGACTTGTATTGTTCCAGGTTAGAAAAATGTAACATTTGTTCAAGAGCCCACTGCTAAAAGGACATCTGGGATTCAGTTTCGTGTCTGTCTGCACCCCGAGATGGTGCCCTAGCCCCTGTGTGAAGTAACGCCCCCACTCTCCTGACAGTGTGCCTGGGAGCAAGCCCCCTCAGGGGTGCCGGGGAGCAGGTTGTGAGAAATATGATGAGAGCCCCTGATGACAGACTCCCCAAGGTACTAAAACCACAGCCCCCGCACCACCACCAGGCTCCCCTGCGGCCTCTGCTCGGCCAGGCCCCATCTCAGCCAGGCCAGGCCTGTCCCGGCCGCTCCATCGCTGTCGGAGGGATAATGAGACACGGAAGGATGTGCCTTAGGGCAGACACTCTGGTTGGACAGACCTGGGTTCAAATGCATCTCTGTCCACTTCCTTCCCCTTTGCACAATTTTCATCTAATTGTCTTGAATGGTTATGTTAAATCTTCGCGAAGTTCCAGAGTCAAACCCTGGAAGCAAGGTGCTCAGAGAAGTCTAGTTCCATTTCTAGCTCCTCCTCTCTGATCTCTCCTTCACGTATAGATGACTGTGTTGCCTGTTTTGCACTTATCCTTCCATTCAAAACTACAAGCAAAGCCTGGCTGGGGTAGCTCAGTGGTTGAGCGTCGGCCTATGAACCAGCAGGTCATGGTTTGGTTCCCAATCACGGCACATGCTGGGGTTGCGTGTGCGCGCGCACACACGCGCACACACGCACACACACACACAGACGGGCAAATGCGGTCCCTCCGGGGACACACGAGCCAAACTCTATGCCCTGTCTGCCACAACATGTGATGGGAAGGACTGGACTGAGTTTCAGTGAGGAGGAAAGGCGAGGGCAGAAACGACCCCCGCGCCCCCTCCCCACACACACACACACCCAGCCCCAGGAGGAAACCCGGCCACGGTTCCTGCACAGTGAAAACAGCACGTCAGGTCCCTCCCAGCTCCATCCCATTCCCCGGAGCTGGGAGGAGCTTGTAGGGTCCAGCGGTTTAACAAACAGGAGGAATGTTTTACTCACACGGTCTTGCTTCAGACAAAGCCTGGTTCCAGCGATTAGCAGGGAAGACCGGACAGCCTAATTGCTCTGAGCCTCAGTTTCCTTATCTGTAAAATGGGCACAATAATAGTAATACCTCATTTAGCCTATTGTGGGGAGTAAATGAGAGGATGCATATGAGGGGCTTAGCTCAGTGGGTGACACCTAGAAGGGACTGGGTTAGTGGTAACTGCTCTCAAGGAGACAATGAGGGTGATGGTTATTGTTTGCCAATGGATTTCAAGGAGGTGAAGGAGATGATGATGGTGATAATAGCACTGTCACGCACCTCTTTCTAGTTTTCACTTGTTGAGCACAGTTCCCTTTCTCAAGAGCATCTGTGTGCATGGGGAACGCACAGCGATGTCCCTGGTAGAAGTTTATTTTATTTTTTTAATTTTTAAAAAATATTTTTATTGATTTCAGAGAGGGAGAGAGAGAAACATCAATGATGAGAGAGAATCATTGATCGGCTGCCTCCTGCACGCCCCCCTTCCCCACTGAGGATCGAACCTGCAACCCGGGCATGTGCCCTTGACCGGAATCAAATCCAGGATCCTTCAGTCCGCAGGCCAATGCTCTATCCACTGAGCTAAACCGGCCAGGGCTCCCTGGTAGGGGTTCGTTCATCTCTGTCTAACTGATGGGAAGCAAGGGTTCCCAGGAGGCCAGGGACTTGCCAGGACCCTCAGCCCTCAGAGGAGGCTCCTCTGGTCTTATGCAATCTTGCCTCAGCCCTGCAGCTCCCTGGGCCAGCCAGCTCTGGCAGAAGTCAAGAGCCAGATTCCAGAACCTCTGACCCTTTTAAGCCTCCAGCTCACCTAGTTGCCTGGTACCTCTTTCCTCTCCTTCCTCACCTGGGTAGCGGGATTAATGACACACACACACACACACACACACACACACACACACACACACACAAACACCGCCCCCAGAGATCAAGAAATAACGAGCACAACTCACACAGCGAGGGCTTGCTGTGGCTGGCCCTGCAGGAGGCGTTCTGCTTGTGCGTTACCTGATGCCACGCTAGCCGCAGTCACGTGCAAGGAACACAGTGGTCATCCTGCTTTACAGGGGACACTGGGCTGAGAGAGGTGAAGTCATTTGCCCAAGGTCACACAGCTAAGTGGTAGAGTCAGGATTCAGACCCAGACCTGTCTGACCCGAAGCTGTCACCCAGGGCATCCCTGACTCCCGGGAGCTGCTCCGATGGGGAAAGTGGCCGCACAGCCAGGGAAAGTCAGAGGGGCCTCAAGACGGGAGACCTGCTCGGTGGACCTGCGTCCTGTCTGATGCCTCTTCTAGCTCCAGAAGCTTCTGGATGGGGCGTGGCCAGGTGGGTGAGCCAAGAGGCTGGGCTGGAACAGTGATGGGAAGGGGGTGCCTCAGCCAAGGACGCGGCCCTTCATCCATCCCAAAGGACGGCCCCCTCCACGGGCAGGCCTGTCCTGAAGATCCCAGGCCAGCTCCCGCCTCACACACTGCAGACATGACCTTCTCACCTACCTGTGGCCTTTCCAGGTGTAAGGTTTTCTGGAGCCTTCTTGCATTAACCCCCAGCCTGCCGCTTCCTAGCTCTGTGGCCTTCCTCTCTCTGTTTCGTCATCTATAAAACGGGATCCCAGTGGCACGTGCCTCACAGGGATGCTGTGTGGGTTACACGTGATGCTACCGTGAGCGCTCAGTGCATGGCGGCTCTCCTTCCAGCTGCGTCCTCTCGGTCAGCCCCCAGCCCAGTGCGGACAGGCAGGAACGGCTAGCCCTCCTCTCCCTCCTGCTCAGATCCTGCTGGTGCTTTAAGGGGCCCATGTCTGACTAGGGGGGCTTACCCGGGGAGGCACTTCTGCTCCGGCCTGTGTGCATTCCCCAGGGGCAGCAGGGAGGGGGTGGCCCTGCCTCCTCTCTGCTCCCCCCTCACTCACCCTCCTTGGAGTTGCAGCGCTGGGCTCCACCATCTGAGGGCATTGAGTTAGGGGTGCCAATGAGGAGGCTGCTTGTCCCCAGCGGCCTCCCAGAGGCCCTGAGAATTCCCATGAGCCTGAGCGGCTGGCTCAGCAGAAGCCAGGCAGCCCAGCGGCCTGGGAAAGGCAGGGAGCAAATAGCTGGAAAGCACCGGAGCGAGAGGGCCTCTCCTGCCCTCCGCCGAAGCCCTGGGCAGCAGGGGCCGGGGACCTAGTGGCCTGCAGGGGAGGGGAGGGCCCAGCTGAAGAGTCTGTGAATCCCACTCCCTCCCTGACCCCTGACTGCAGAGGCCCAGCGAGGAGGAGTCGTGATGGATGGCAAGGGAAGACCAGGGAGCTGGAACAAGAGGGCAAGGCAGATGGGGAGGCCCAGGGGGAGGAGCCCCAGACGCACGCTGGGGGCAGAGGAGGTTCTGCCTGGTACGAGCTGGGCAGGGGATGCTGCCTGTTCAGACAAAAGCTCATGCCAGCCACCTCCAGGCCTGGGAGCGTGCCCTCCAGCTTAAGGAGGAAAGCACGGTAGGGCCGACTTCAATCTGTCCCAGGACCAGAAGCACAGGCTCCAGGCCTTGTGCTGAGAAAGCAGAGGTAGCGGGGCGAGAGCATTTGTTATCTGCCCCTCTGGGGGAGTCTACCACCTGCCCCTGGACTTGGCCACCACCCCAGGGATAGAGGAAGAGGTTGTAGCCCTGAGCCTCACGTCTCCAAACCTGCCCCAGGGCCCCAAATAGTCGCCACCACATGTGAGACACTCCACAGAGAACAAAGCCCCTGCCCCCTCCGTCCCTCTGGGTGGGGCGTCCACCAGGCCCGGTCAGGTCAATGCCCTTCACCTCGCCCATTGCTCCTAAGGTCAGGCCGAGGTGCCTGGCTCTGGACAGGATCCAATCAGGCTGCCGGGCCAGACACCCCCTCCTCCAGTTCCCCCCATAGCTCCCCTCGGAGCAGGATGAAGGGAAAACAGATGTTAATTTGCTGTCTATGCTAATTTG